AGGTACCACTCAGACCCACCTCCAGGCCTTTTACCTGCTTGATTGGTCATGGGGTACCCAGGAAACAGGACACACCTGGCCATGCAGCTGCTTATCAGCCGTTCATTCAATTACTTATGAGCCACCAACAATGGGTGTGTGTGTATGCCACTGGCTGTACTTCCTGAATGGTCAGGGTCCCACTTTTGTCAAACCCCTTGAATTACAGCTGAAAGTCCTAACTTCACTCCTATCTGGGTGTGTTTCCTTTCAACTTCAATGTGGTGGTGTACAGAGGCCAAATGCCAAAATAGTTACCCTTGTTCCAATATTTTTGGTCCTGACTGTACATTACCTTATCCATAATATGGACCTTCTTTTTTGCATTGTCAGTTTTACTATTAGACAGGCAATTCCTGAACTGTTTGCATATACTGTTCCACTTTTAAAAATTTCTACTGCACAATCGCTAATTTACGTTTGTAAAGTCAACATGCTTCCCACCTACCAATCTCATTTGTAGATTTCTAGAGACAGTCTGGATTTTAACCTCAGTTCTCTGTACAATCACCATGAAGATCTGCTTAAAGACAAAAGTCAGGTAGTCCTCCATAAAGAAACCATCTTTGATGACCATGGGTAAGCATAAGTCTTTATTCTTCTAAATTTAAGAAAAGAGCATCGGCCTCCGATGGATGTACTGTATACTCTAATAGTTGTGCAATTCTTACAGCTATGAAACCAACAGTAGCATGTATGTGATCAATATGCCCATAGTCATAACCCTATCAATAATACTTATTAGAAGATTATATTTTTTCACATTAGACAAGTCTTGTCCACATGAGTCACATTTCATTTAATTCAGGGTACATTTCAACTAGTATCCTACTAATATATAAAACAAAAATATAATTCAAGAGGTGCTATTACTGGCTAGGACTTAATAGACTAGGGGCTCTATCCAGTGACACTGTATAGTCCAAGAATCAGTACCTAAAAAGATATATTGATCTCCTTCCAAAGGCTATTACCAGTATATAGTACTTATAACTGCTGCATTCAGACTAGGTTATCACAGTTCACACTGGATTCTTAGGAATGGCATACCAGACCGTGAACTGGGCTACAAAACCAAATCTGTAAACAGAAGAGACTAAGAATTGGTGCTTATATTCAATATTTTCCTTGCTGCTCTTGGCATAATTGGTACTAGGAAATTTTGAAACAGAGCACAAGCTGAATATAACTGTGCAGAGATGCACTTTGTTTAGCCCTCCAAACCTCATCCATGCTTTTAAAAATCTGGAACTGGGTGAGTTTACAATCAGGCATGTAAAATATATATTTAATATTATTTATAATTTGAAACAAAGACAAATCCATCTGTGAAAACATAACTTAGATGTATCCAAGTTCCAGAATGCAGTCCCTTGACTAGTTATAGATGCATCTTTGAGACTACTTTGAAAGTCATTTATTAGGGATAGTTTAATTCAATTTCTGTACTGAGCAGGTGATTAGACTCCATAGCCTAAATGGCCCTTTCCAACTCTAAGAGTCAATAATTCCTGCTAATTCTAAATGTTCTCAGACATTTGAACAGTAGGCTATTGTTTCCTTAGTTAAATGGCCCTATCCTACCTCTTTTAATTAATGAAAGATGACTTGCACAATACATTAATTTATTTTAATGTTTACCATTCAGCAATTATCTCTGCCCAAGAGGTAATGCTTTCTTGCTAATGTATGTCCTTTGTTTTTGAGCACAGCAGAATGCTTAAGGGGTTAGAGCCTTTGAAGGAATACACTGTGCCTTCAGTTCAGCATTCTACTTCCAGGAGCCTTTCTGTGAGACACTGGGTTAATCCTGTAAAAGAATCTATCCACAGCATTGAGGGAGCCATTGGTAAGCATGACCATTAAATGCCTCTTTTGGTTGAAGAGGAGCTAAGATAAGAACAGAAACCTTTACAGCAGGTCAATTTTCAAAATAACCCCCTCTCTAGTTTATTTTCTTTATCCAGTTTTCTTTTGAGAGAATATAATATATCCTTAACCCTAGCTCTGTGTTAAAAGCTTCTTCATTCAAAGTGGATAATAACAGAGTGATGTAAACTTTCTCTCTATTGTAAATACTTACATTCCAATAGCTTAGTGAAATAGAACAAACTTAAATACAGAAAAAAATGACAAATGGTAGTTCTTTTAAAAAAAATGCTGCTGGCAGTATTACTTACAGTATTTTTAGGGTAGAGCCATTAAAAAAAATTAGACTCTGTAGCTTTGCTCCATTGCAAGATGCCTGTTATTTACTCGTAATGTTGTTGTGTGGGGCGGGGGGGCAGTCAGTTATCTGAATAGTCAATGACAGCTGACAAAATTATTTGTGTCTTTTTTTGCAGAATCTCCACACACTGCAGCCACAAACAGTGGATATTCCCGCAAAGAGAATGGTGGGATCTTCTATCATTAATGATTTTTGCAGGGTCATGTTGCAACTTTATTCCTTGCAGCCTTAATTGTTGCCCATAAGCTAACTCTTTACTCACTATGTGCTTAGTTTTCAGATCATCCATTAAACCAGCCAGCTTCACTGAATTTTAGTAAAAGCTCAACTATGCTGTATTTGAAAAAGCAAGTTGTTATTGCCAGTGGACCAAGCCCCAAATATATTAGGCCTAATAAATTCACATATTTGGTTAGGACTGAAGTAATAGATTAGAGAGCCAGTGAGTTCTAGTCCCACCTTAGGCACAAAGCCAGCTGGGTGACCTTGGATCAGTCACTCTTTCTCAGCCCTAGGAAGCAGGCAATGGCAAACCACTTCTGAAAAACTTTGCCAAGAAAACTGCAGGGACTAGCCCAGGCAGTTGCCAGGAATCAAAAACTGATCTGAAGGTACACACACAAAGTAATAGAATCCAGTCCACTTTGGACTCGGGTACAAAGAAGATACTATTTATACTGAATCATATATTCATTTAAATAATAATCTTAGCTAAAACTAAGTTAACACAAGCTGCAGTAAATTTATCTACAGTAAATTAGTTAAATACATCTGTAGCATATCTCAAAGCAAAATATAGGCACTGATTACAATTCTCAAAAAATGTATTTTTGTTTTTCAAAAACAAAATACAAATATAAATTTCATTCCTAGTGGAATATGCTTGTGGAGTACTTCAGAACACAACTTTCTGAAGATTAAAACCATTATATCAAGATCAAAAATAATGCCAACTAGGAACAAGGGCTGAATGCCAAAACACACAATTGTATAACCTTTTAAAAGAAGTTCTGTAGGTACAAAAAGTGCCACAGATGAAGGGGCCAAAGCACTTAATGTCATTAATGAACACCATGGCTGTGTGCAGACAAGTTTGGCAAAGCAAACTGCAGCCAAAACTTTGCCAATCCAAATGAATCTCAAATCCAGCCATATCTACTTCTAATTGCTTGTTGTTGGTTTATGGTACATTATTGTACTAATTCGTATTTCCCCTTGGAGCTTTAAAATATCTATCACTTTCTGCAGCCTGGTACCTTTGAGAAGACTATTAGCATAGACTATTAGCTATGCTAACTGAGGGTTGTGAGAATTTTGCTCTAAGAAAGAAGTCAGGAGACCCCAGAAAGATAAGTTTCTATACCTCTCAAGTTTACCCACTTCCTATCTACTCTTTGATCCTTTATCTTCACCTATCAAGCCATACTTTTAAAGATTTTTATCTCCTTTGTCCAATTTTTTCATTATTTAGTATTAACTCTCTCCTATTCCAATATTATTTATACTAATCCAACCTGCAGTAACATTTCTTTAGACCCAACCCGCTCTCCTCTGCTGAAGATTTTCTTTTGACAGTCTAATCTGCATTCTTGATTAATATTCTTTTCATTTATCTTCTTTCAGTATTATTACCTTCTGGTACCTGTGCTGCAATTTTTCTGCTTTTCTGGTTTTTTTTGTAGATCCCAGATAATCCTGTTTAAGATTTTAGTTCCAAGCCAACTATATTCCTTCTTGTATAATATGAATATCAAATCATGCAGTTCCCTGAATAAACATTCTAAGCATTACAACATCTCAATTAATTAGCATTAAAGGTTTAACTATATATTTGTATCTTAAGGATGCTTGGAACATAATCCCTTGCCACTTACCATGCGAGTTCTTTTTTTATAAGAAGTTTATTAAGGATTACATTATACATATAAAACTAATACAAACTACATAATAGAAGAAAAGGGGAGAAGTGCAGAGAAAAAAATGAAAAAAATATAAAAAGAAAAAGGAAATATATGAAGAAGTAACTTTCCCCTTTGTTCCAACAAGTATAAACAACAATTTATCACCATCTCTTAAAATACAACAAACAATCTCTTCATCCCATATCTCACCTCATTCTCTATAAATAAATCTTTAAAGCCTCATTGTTCCATTGTAATCAGCAAAAATCCATTAAGGGTTGCCAGAAATAACGGCATATCTGTTATAAACTTGATCTAATAAACCCACTTTAATTCCTTCCTTTTACTTTTATATTTCATTTTCTATCTTTAAACAAATCCTTCAAACCTCATCATTCAAACTTAGTCTTAACTTCTGAGTCTGTTGTTCACAAATATCTCTCAATACATCCAATGTTAAAGTATTTTGCTCCATTCTGCATTAGCAAATCGAGTTTAAATGTTCTTCTCATTTAATTATAATCTTTATTTCTTTCTGATTCCTTCTAGTGTCTGACCTTCAAAGTCCCATCTTGTCATGTTCCCCCCCCCCCGAATGTGAAACATGAACAGTTTCCCATGGGAAAGATTATTTTTAATTTCAAAATCTTATTTCAAATCCATCTGGACCCTTAGTCCATTTATAACTTTCTAAAAACAACTCTAAAAAGATTATTTTTAATTTCAAAATCTTATTTCAAATCCATCTGGACCCTTAGTCCATTTATAACTTTCTAAAAACAACTCTAAAAAGATTATTTTTAATTTCAAAATCTTATTTCAAATCCATCTGGACCCTTAGTCCATTTATAACTTTCTAAAAACAACTCTAACCACCCTTTTGCTGTTTATTCCCACCTAAATTTCTTTGTAAGTTCTTAAACTCATACTTAAAACTCCTTCTGTTAAGGACTGAAGGAAAATCACCCAGTGAATACCATAAAACTGCTGTTCCAAAGGTTCTTAATATTTAAAAAGTAGTAAAAAAGTAATTCCAAAGTGATTAAGAAATAAGATTTGGCCAAACCTTGTGTCCATATAGGCTACATTACAACTATGCACTTGATGGAATCCCTTGATTCAGAAGCCAACCGCAAAAACCTCGGTTCCTGCGGTCTACTCATGTGGAGTAGCTGTCCAGTTGTGTGGGCAATCTCATGATCTCTCCTTTTTACGGAGAGATTTTATGGCCGGCGTTTTCAGCCGTAATGCTGTCCCCCATTCCTTTAGGACCATCAGTTTGCCATGTCCTCATTAGAAGTCTCCCTCCATGCTAGTTCTGATTTGAATTGAAACGTCAACCACCTGAAGAGTCACTTTCACCTGGTCTAATCTATCACGTTTTTAAATGTTTTTTTTTTTTAAACTAAATTTCAGATAAACAAGAAATGTGAAATTTCCATTCTAAATTGCTGGGTCAGAATTTCAGCCAAGACACACAATAAGTATGTGTTCTGCTAAAGGTATTTTAGCCATTCTTTCAACCAATCACAGAAACTGGCTTGTCTAATCTACAATTAAATTCTATCTAAAATTAGTTTGCTTGTCCTGCTGGATGATGAGATAAAATTTACAATTTTTTATATCTATCTATCTATCTGTCTGTCTGTCTGTCTGTCTATCTTACTACATTTCATATAAAGGCTGGATTCAAAGTGGTTACTCCATGAATAGATCTCTTTCCACTCTCAAAGAGCACAAACTTCCCTTTCAAGGAACAGGGCAGCAAGGCAGGTTTCACAGAAATCTATTTCTGCCTATATTATTTCACATGCTATGTTAAAGAGCTTTCCAACACAGATAACAGACTTTTCAGGGGGCTTAGGAACTACCTATAATTTTCTCATTTGCTCTGTCGCAGCAAACAGAATTCTTCTGTATGTTCTCTGGATTCAGTATCATGGAAAGATTACACTCCAAAAACACTGAAACTGAATCAGCTTTATTTCTAGCACAATTTCAGCAAAAGATATGAGTATCTAGTGTGCCTTAAATAACATCAAGAAATCAAATGTTTATAATTCAGCAACCCAAACAATACATTATGCCACATTTGAAAAATATATTACAGGATGCCACACTTTCTTTCTTTCTTTCTCTTTCTTTTCTTTCTTTCTATTAATTAATTAATTAATTAAATTTTTCAACTGCCCATCTCCCCCCAATGGGGAAACTCTGGGCAATTCACAATAAACATTAGGACATAAATATATAAACACATAAAACCATAAATTAAAACATAACTAAAAAGGAGAGACCAAGGGGATGAAAACCTGAGGCTGAAGGCCAAGGCCTCTATGGGGCTAGCC